CCTGGAAGCTGCAAAGAGAGGCCGTACACACATACATGCGACCAACCGTACACCCACAACAATGTCTGTGTTTTTCTGTGTGTCTGTCGTGGCTGCCATGCCTTGCGTTTGCGTCCTCTCCCTTGCGCAGCGCCAGCAGCAGCTGACCCACATCAATCGTGCCTGAACCACACAGAGGGAGACAACGCATGCCTGTGGTATGATGTCTCGTGCCCACATTCGCACCTCTGCGTTTCTCGTCTAGGACGTTGAACAAGTGGATGAGGTTCTTTTCGACCGTCTCCCTGTCAGGAGCAGCCCCCTACACCCACACCCACATACCACACCCGTGATGTCCCCCCTACTTTGACAACCCTCTCGCACAGACACACTGACTGACTGACCCGTTCCTCGTCGCTCTCTTCGTCTTCCTCCACGTGTCGTGACTTAAGCCGCACGCCACCCGTCAGCCCCTGCAGCTCCTCCAACTCAGCACGCTCCTGCTCGTCGGCCTTCTCCCTGGCTAGCTGGTCAGCCAACTCGCGGAACCGCTGTGTGTCGAACAGCTGGCTTATGGCCGTGCACGCCACGCGGAGGAAGGAGCGGCAGTCGACTTGGCCATAGGGGTCGGGCATCAGGATCGACAACAGCACCTGTGCATGTGTGGGTGGGTGCAGGGTGAGGAGCACGCGTCTTTGTGTGTGGACTTATGGGAGATTGTGTGTGTGTGCCTACGTGTATTTGGATTCTGGAGAGGCAGAGCTGTGATGCGTTGAAGAGGATGTCGCGAATTGTCCAGATCGGCAGTTTGAAGTCATAGGTCACCTGAGACTGCAGGGGACGACCAGACAGGTAGAGAGACGTGCAGATGAGACACGCGAACACACAGGCAGTTTGTACGCACCTTCTTGATGAGCTGCACGAGGTGGTCTGAGGCCCCGCAGGTCCGTCTCGACCAACGCATTGTGGAACGCATCACGCCTGACGAGACAAGTGCATCCATCCATCCATCCACCGACTCCGTGTATGTTGATTGATCTGCATGGCATGGCTACCTGAGTTTCTGCAGCTGCCCGAAGATGCCACTGTACGGCATTCGTCCGTCTTCCTCCTCCTCGACCATCTGCATCAACATCGTCACCTCCTGCGGACTGAACCTGCATAAAAAGGGAGCGGAGCTGGGTCTCTGGTGGGTGCTTTCCGTGAGGTGAGTATCTACTCACCTGTCGCTTCTCTGTTCGATGCATTGCCTGAACTCGTGTCTCGTCAGCATTCCCGTGCCAGCACTGTCAACATTGCGAAACGACTCCTCTATTAACCTAAAGATGAACAGTCACCCACAGCATAAACACGCACTGGAGACAAGGGGTCGCTCCTTCTGCTGATCTACCTTACCTGGTGGTCTCCTCAAGCCCAAAGCACAGTATGATGGCCTCGTCTGTGACCTCGGCCGCAGGCAGTCCGCGAGGTTCATACGCCTCGCGACGTTCCTGCAAAGCTGAGATGACCATTGGGGCCGCCTGATGGGTCGATGGATGGATGGTATGCATATGGCAGTACGTATCCTGCACGAGCTTGCTTGTCAACTTGCTTACTTCAACGAAAGGGAGGTAGTCGATGTATCCGTCGGCGTTTTCCATGGTAGTTGTCAGCAGCAGCCGAATGTCCCAGTCGGTCAGGCCAAGAGGCGTCGCGTTGGGTGCAGATGACAGACAGACAGTGTTGACAGTATGTGTGTGTGCCTTGATTGCTCCTGGCGGTTGGTGGATTGACGAAACACATTTCTGGGTCAGAGAGGGTGAATGAGCACATTTATGCGCGTGTGCCTGGCTTCATCCACGCATGGACCTGTCCCACTCCCACTCCCACTCCCACACACGGACGCCAAATGGATGTCCTTGCACCTATCTACGACACGCAAGCCCCAACAACACACACAGTATGCCGACACACTTTACACCACAGACTACAACAGAGGTGCCGGGAAAAAAGTCCTCAGGCACCCACAGAGACAGAAGGGCAGACGGACAGACAGACGGATGAACTCACACACTAATTACGCCTCGGCGCGTACTCAGACACACACACTTGGAAACACTGCTAGCAACACACAGGGAGAGAGAGAGATGGATAAAGGCTCTCTCTATACCATCACAAAACACGTGCACTCATACACAGACACAGATCTAGACACAGACAGGCATTGCAAAAAGCCTCGCACAATGAACAACACACACACACACACACACAGCCCCAGACACAGCGGAAGACAGACAGGCACTCCGGCAGGTCAGACAGGCGAGCCCCCATCGATTGAGCTGTCGGACGAGCCGGGCTGCGGTGTGGGGGGCGACGCCGCATAAACGTCCTCACTCTCGGTGGCGGGGGTGATGGCCCCCACCTTGTTATTGCCAGACTTGAGCTGGGGGGTCGCCTCACCGCTGGTGCCGTTGTCATGCAGATCGTCCTGCATGTCGACACTCAGCAAGGAGGATGCCTTGGCGGGAGGCAGGCTGTCTTCGCCACGCTGAGAGGGAGAGAAAGACACATGAGTTTTGGATGGTGGGGGTGATGTGCACTATGGGGTGGTGGTGGTGGTGGGTGTGTACCATTTCCTCTTTCTCCATCCTTCGCTCGGCCGCGTAGTCCTCTTCACTGCACACACACACACACACACGGGCACATAGCAGCGGCATCGTAGAGGCTCAGGGCATTCAATGTCGGTAGGTGGTACGTCTTGGGCAGAATGAGGTTGAGCGTGACAGTGATGAGGAAGGCCAGCACGAGTTCTGAGCTGATGATCAGGTAGGTCGCCCGCCACAGGGTGTTGACGGTGAAGCTCAGGTCCCGCAGCTTGCACACCCTCGTGCCGTCCTCATCGATGTATCTGTCGTCCCGCACGGCGATGTCAAGAGCGTTGATAGCCTGCAGGTAGTGGGCCGTCTCGTCGGCACCTTCGCAATTCCACGCCGCCTAAATGCATCAATGCCCACACAAACACACACATACAGATACATACATTGGTGGAGAGGGGAGGAAGGGCCGTCTTCGTGTGT